TCCCCAGGTGGAGAGGGCATGGCTTTTGATCACTCCTATTGCTTGTCCCGGCTTTCTGATCCTAGACGCTTACTCACCTTCCAACTATATGGGGCCAGTGGAAGACGAGCTCTGAATCAGGGCTGAGTCATCCAGGCAGCTTCCTGCCTGGGGTTGAGTGGGGATGGCTACGTGGGAGAAATCTCTCTTCCATGGGACAAACGTGCTCTCAAAGTTATCCAGGGCTGGTGGAAACCCATATGGGGAGGTCTGTCTCCTAGGCCTGTTTCAAGTGTTCCCTTTCTTCCTGGCGATGATTAGGTCCTCATGGTACCCACAGAGTGGGCCACCATCAGAGGATGGGGACCCCAGTCTACTCCTCAGAAGTGGGCCTGCAGTCAGCATCTCTCACTAGCTGACTTGCCACCAGGTGGTAGCATCCACCTGCCCCAGATACTCAGTCTTCACCCCGGTGCAGGTCAATCCAATGGCAACATTCAGATCACTCTGACCCACAGACTGAACCTTTTGACTTGGTGACTTTCTGTGCTTTTTTCCTATGACGTAGGATGTGAGACATGAGATTCGGTTTTAGAGTTCCCAGCAATGGTCTGTTCAGTCTGCCTCTGCTCTCCCCCCCTCTTCCAGAGATTGACATGGGATCATAGTAACCTAGCCCGGGCTGTTGGAATTCCAAAGAGTTGTTTCACTCAAAGCCCCTTCGGGGTCACCTGGAGGGCTGCTTCCCTAAGGACCTGCACTCTCACATGGTTCCAGAGTATCCTGAGTGCAGCTGGCCACAGGTTTTAAAACATGCAGCAGCTAGCTCATCCCCTCCAGCTGTGTGGCCCCAGGGCCCAGAGAGTAGTGGCTGATGACAGAATTACAGGCCCAAAACTCAATAACCTATCGTTTGCCCTCATTGTGGCTTCGTTCTGCTTAGGAAATTAGATTATCTCTCAATTTCTTTTTCTTTGGCCAACTAGCCTGTTACCCAGAGCAGAGTTTTTCTCTCCAGAACAGAATCTTCCATTTTTAGACCAGGAGCCCAGTCTTAATCTCCTCCCTGATGAGAAGGCAGTGTTTCCTTCTAATACTTGGATTCATCACCCCTTTACCCTTGGATACAACCTAATGTTTACTGGAGAACTACTGTGTGCTATACTGTTTGGTCCTGGGTGGTTTTCACGCAAGACTGCTAATGACCAAAGGCTTTGACAATAATTCCTTAAAATAGATATGAATTAGGCCATGTTAGAAATAAGTAAATTGGCCGGGCGGTGGTGGCGCATGCCTTTAATCCCAGCACTTGGGAGGCAGAGCCAGGCGGATCTCTGTGAGTTCGAGGCCAGCTGGTCTACAGAGTGAGTTCCAGGAAAGGCACAAAACTACACAGAGAAACCCTGTCTCAAAAAACAAAAACAAAAGAAATAAGTAAATTGAGGGCTAGGAAATCTCAGGGTTTACCTGAGGCTGCAGATCTCATCGTAGGTAGGGCACTCAGATACAGGCCTGAATTCAGGGCTTTATACTTCCATAGTAGAATTTATATTTCCCAGAATGTTTCATCCAATGTGATATAAAAGAATTAATTTAAAAAAAGTGAGAGATTTTCACAAGCTATCTTTTAGTGATTAGTCTGTTCGTGCATCCAGATCACAACATAATTTTTATTTTTAAATAGTTTATTCTTTGAGTTGCTCATATGAGTAGATGATACTAAATGCAGAACTTGTCTAACCTTGCTGTTTCCAGAAAGCCTCCCTGACTCTCTGTTTCTCTCTAAGCCATTAGTTTCTTATTCTTCTTAAATGAACACGTGTTACTTTCAATTTAAAAACATTTAACAGATAAATTTTTTAACGGATAACACACTTGGGTTTCTTGAATGTCACGGGAAACAAATAAATATATACACAATAAAAAAAAAAAATAGCCTCCTCCTTTCTCTCCTGTCCCCAACCCCCAGCCTCCCAGGCCTGGTCACATACAAGAATGCATTGTTTCTCCTTTGTTTGTTCACAAAAGCCAAGGATTGGTTACAACCTAGGAAATGTTCTCTACTTTTATTTTTCTTGGTTGCTCTATCTTGGCGCTCATGCCAAATCAGTCAATATCCTTACCACATTTTTAACAGCTACACTCATAAATAATTTGAAAATGGACCATGCTGTGTTTAACAAGTCTGCAGTTGGCAGACACTTGATCTGGTCCAGTTTTTTTGCTGTGACAAACAATTCTGCTGGGCCTGCTCTTGTGTGCATATCGTTTCACCTAGGAACAAGTACGTACAAGGTAGATGCCTCTAAGAGGAAAGCCTAGGAATGGGCAACAGTATGTGCATTTTTAATGTAAGGACTTTTCATCCTGAGATTTTTTTTTTTTTTTTCAAGCATTGCGAAGGGAAAAGAGAGGTATGATGAATTCTCAACATTCACCATAGAGCTTCCGTTACTATGGGTTGGGGATTTAGCTCAGTGGTAGAGTGCTTGCCTAGCAAGCGCAAGGTCCTGGGTTCGGTCCTCAGCTCCGAAAAAGGAAGAAAAACAAAAAACCCATGGGTGAAACCTTTTTGCATATACATCTCGGCTCCATCTACTTCCTCTGTCTCCATTTATCTTGAATCAACCCTGACATGTTCCCTCACTAGTCAATACTCTGGGAAAGCTTCTGGAAAGTAAGTGAGGTTTAAAGAAGAAGAAGAAAAAAGCCCGTGCATATGTAATTTCACATAAAAAAATAAACTACTACTTATTAATAACTACTTATTAATGTCATCAAATATCCTGTCCATGCCAGAATTTGTCAGATTGGTTCATAAAAATTTCTTCTTTGAGTAGTTCGTTCTGTGATCCAAATCCAAACATGGATTGTGGTTCGTTGGGTTTGTTTGTTTGTTATTTTTTGGGGGGGGGGTTGTTGGTTTTGGTTTTTGGTCCTTTGGCTTCTCCCATGATTTCTCTTTTCACAGCATTGTTGTAGAAATGGGTAAGTCTGTTTTTAAGAGGCTGAATTTTCCTGACCATATGCCCACAGAGGTACTTAATACCTCTCTGATGTCAAAAGGAAAATACAAAAACAAGTCACAGGACTTGTAAGAAAGAAAGTAACGTAACAGAGTCAGCGTGGCACAGCTGTAGCAGTTAGTAGAAGAAAGTTTACATAACTAATTATATTACTAAGAATAGAACTCAATGCATAACCCACAAAACTTAAACAAATAAAAGGAAGCAGGAAGAGGACACATGCGGATGAGTGTTTCATTGTTCTTTGAACCCGCATTTTAAAGCCAAGGCTTAAGACTCACCAGCTCAGGCCTGGACGATTTTGCAATCTGTAGCTTTTACATAGAGAAAGTAAATTTAGAAGCCTCAGAGCGATTGGGCTGTCTACATACACTTTACTTGGAATCTAAGGTATAGCCTACCTTGACCATCAGTGGGAATTCACTTAGGGATAATACTGCCTTACTTGGAAGATGGGGACAGGAGTGGAATGGACTCCCTGTGTCCAGTTCCAGCTTGCACACCCTCCATGGAGGAAAGTGTTAACCCTGGGGAGTCACCTGAGTGAACAACAGGAGTTGAGAATTCCTGACCTTTTACAATACTCACATGGCCTTGCTATCCCATAGACACCAGTGCAAATCTCCACTGGTATAAAAACCACTTGCCTCATCTAGAGCAAAAGTCCTCATCACATAACTGAGGTAACTAACTTTACCTAAAGAGGCTGAGGATCCTGGGAGAGGCCAGATATAGCTAGTGCTGAGTAAGTGACAGCTGACCTGATATCCTTGCCTCTCACATTCTGAGATTCCAACGTGGAGACCCTCTTGTGGCACCAGTCAGGAAGTATCAACCCAAAGAAAGCCATCCATCACACGGTTCTCCCTGCCTTCTCTGAAAAAAAAAAAAATGTGTTACCCTGAGCTCCCTTTGAGCGATGAAAATGACGTGCCTACCCACAAAAACCTCTACCATTGTGACTGTTCTTCAGCCAATTTGACTGGACTTAGAATCCCCTAGGAGACACCTCTCTAGATGACACTTTGAGAATGTTTCCAGAGAGGTTTCCAGAGACCTGAGGGGGAAAGACTGACCCCCAAATGCATCCTTCAATTAAGTTGCTCATGTCAGGTCACAGCACTGAGAAGTCACTAACCCAGGCCTTCACTGCCTCTCCACGTGCCCATCAGCCACCATGTTTACATGTGGATCCACCACCTACTCAAGAGCAGATGTCGCCTTTCTTAGGCTTGGGAATACCTATGCCTCCCACCCACCACCATGTTGGACATTGCCTCCTGCCCCTACTAAGGGCCAGTTCTGTGCAGAGGACCTTGGCTTTGATCATGAAGGACACATTAAGACCTTCATTTGCTTTCTGCCCGGATGGAACCACTGAATGTCAATAGCTCTCTAACCCTGAGTGTTGGGCATAGGACCTTTTCTCAGTCAGCTCCCTGGTGGAACAGGCTCATTAAAGATTCTTTAGGTCATTGGTTGGGTTCATTCCATGATGGAGAAGTGTCTGCAAGGTAAGTCCCAGAAGACCACCATGCCAATGCATGCCCTGCATGCGCACACATCGTTCCTGCCCCAAGTCTCCAAACGACCCATCCATACTTGCACCAGGCTGCGACCAGGCTCAGACCCTGCAAAACAGGGGAGGGTCCTGGTGAGAGAAGACCCATGTCACTCCTCCCTTGGGTGGCCGCAGCCACAGCCCTCTGCTCTGCACCGCCACTGGCCCCTGGAGCCGAGGCCAGGGCGTGCAGCTAGGCTTGATCCTGTGAGCCAAACACCGGGAAGCGAGGAAAGAACGTTAAGTCAAACAAAGGGTCCGCAGCAGCTGCAGCAGGGGAACACGCGACGACCAGCAACCGAGGGGCGCTCGCCACCGCGCCCTGCTCCCTTGGCCCGCGCGCCTAGCCCGCCGCCCCGGCGCGTGTGTCCTTATATGGTCAAATGACTCGGCGGGGGTTCTCGAGGGCGGGAGCGGCGCGGGCTGCACTCCGCCCGCTGAGCTGCCGCCGCCGCCGCCGCCGCTGCCGCCGCCACCGCCGCGCCACAGTCCGCTGGGTGCCCTAGACCCTGGCCCCGCCGTGTGTGAGCACTCCTGCCGCCGCCCGGGCCAGAGCCGGGCCTGGTACACAAGAATAGCCACCAGACAGCTGCCCTAGCACGCGTGGAGAGACACCGGTGGCCGGCGTACCCCGAGCGCGGAGCGGAGACCCGGGAGACCCGAGCAGGGCTCTGCAGACCGCACCCGGGTAGGGACTCAACCCGGAGAGGACAGATCCTGGCCGGTAGGCGAGCCGTGTTTTGCAGAGGACACCCGGGATGGGGACCTAAAACGGAGAGGGCAGATCTGGGGAGAGGAGAGCCTAGCTGGGCAGGGGATACTCAGAATGGGGGCTCGAAATGAAGGGGAGGGGCTCAGGAGGGGAGGGGGGCGAGTTATGGAGACGGTGGACCGGAAACACGGGGGAAGAAGGGGAGTCTTGAAGGGGAGACCCTAGAACCGGGGAGTTGATCCACGGGAAGACACCTCCAGGAAGAGCGGATGCCGGGCAGAGAGGATCAGAATCCTGAGTGCCAGGGACCCGTGGGGAATGGTGGGCAAGGGAACATTGGTGTCCAGAGGGAGGGCTGCAGCCCTAGAGAGGTGGGTCGCCGCCAGGTGGTGGGAGACGAGAGGATGAACCGCCCACAGGCGATCCCCCAGGGGCGAAGTGGAACTGGTCTCTCAAGTCAATGGAAGGGACGCTGGTCAGCACGTGGATGGCCAGGCATTTCCCTTGGGAAGAAGTCGAGTTTGCCTGTGACCACATATCTTGACTCATCCACAAAATTAAAACCTGAGGCATAGGGTTAAAAAAATAATAATAACACTTTTAAATGAAAAGAATTCTAACCGATAGATCGCGGTCTTGTGATGTCTTGTGGTAAGAAACTTTTCAATGCTGTTTCTGGTTTTAAATGAATACTTAGCCATATTTGCTCGGTTGTGTCTCTGGCACTCAATGAAGTAGGCATTTTATGAAATAGACAGCCGTCTTTGGTAAAACCAACTTGTGGCATGCACTTCTCACACCTGTTTTGTGAAGTAATGAACTACAATTTGGGCGTATAGACATGAGATTGTCTTCAAAGCACTACTCTAATTGTGTCTCATGCTGTGGTGATACTCTGCTTATATGCATATTTTGCAGTAATATATTAGAGAAAGGTTGCTTGTGGTAGTGTATGTGTGTGTGTGTGTGTGTGTGTGTGTGTGTGTGTGTGTGTGTGTGGTTATTGTTGCTGTTTGAGATTAAAGCCTTACTCCGTAGCCAGGAAAGTTACCATGGCATCCCAGGTGACCTCAAACTGGTGCCTATCCTCCTGCCTCAGCCTCCAAAGTGTTGCAATTGCAGGAGTGACCTACAACATCCTGGAGCTATGGTGATCTAGAACCTTTCCCTCAAGCCCCCCCCCCCAACAAAACAATTTGCTCTAAGTCTTAGAGTTTATGAACTCCCAACCCAATAACTAAAGGTCAACAAAACCAAATTTTAAAACACTTATTTTTCCTCACTCTTTTTTCAGATCCAGCTCTCTCCTAGTGTTTAACAGAACAGTGCATAGCATTGGTGGCCCCTGTTCTGGCTTCCTTTTGTGCTGTCTCCTTGCTATCCAGCCTCACAGATTCAACATGGATGGGTCTAGAAAGCTTGGCTGGCAGATGCGCCTGCAACAGAACCAAGAGGCCAGAATTAACATTGGGACCTCTCAACCCACATGGCCTGGCCTAAAGCACAAAATCTGTTGGTTCCTCAGTTTTCTCCCAGAGAATCAGATAACAAGGAGCTTTCCTGTACATTATACGCAGCATGTGTAGATTTTATAGCCTCTTATTCACAGATAAAGAAACAGAAACAGAATGATCCAAGTAACTTTGTTGTCCAGAGTTTCCCAGCCTGTAGACGTAGCCCTCAGAGCTGCCTCCAGAGAGCTTGACTCTGCACCGGGCCACACTGTATGAATATTGTGTTGAGGCCCGGCGCTGCATGTTTTGACCCAAGATTGTTAAATGCCTTCAATACCGAGCAAATCTCAACTGCAGAAAGGATATAGAAAAAAAAAAAAAAAAAAAAAAAAAACCTCAGAAGGCCAAGAGGCCTGGATTCTATCCCTGTTCTGCACGGAGGGCTAGCATCTTACACACCGTGTCCAAGTCACTGTTCTATTGCTGTGAAGAGACACCACGACCAAGGCAAGTCTTACAAAAGAAAGCATTTAATTGGGGGCTTGCTTGCAGTTTCAGGGGCCTAGTTCATTGTCGTCATGGTGGGGAGCATGGCCCCACACAGGCAGACTGATGCTGGAGAAGTAGCTGAAAGTTCTACATCATGATCCACAGGCAGCAGGGAGAAAGGGTCTGGGCCTGGCATAGGCTTCTGAAACCTCAAAGCCTACTGTTAGTGACACACTTCCTTCAACAAGACCACACCCCCTAATCCTTCTAATCCTTTCAGAGAGTTCTGCTCCCTGGTGACTAAGCATTCAAACATATGAGCCCACGAGGATCATGCTAATTGAAACCACCACACGTCAGCTTCCCATTTTATAGGCAGCTGTGGTTTGGATATGATTTTTCTCCAAGACTCATGTGTTGGAAGCTTGGTTATCCTTGGGTAAATGTTGGGAGGTAGGGAGTGGAGTTTAGGGGTTAGAGAGATGGTTCAGCAGTTAAGAGTACTTACAGAGGGTCTGTCTGAACTTGACACACAACACTTAACTCCCTATAACTTCTACTCCAAAGGATCCTACATCTTCTTCTGGCTTTCGTGGGCAATTGCACACACTTATACACACACACACACACACACACACACACACACACACACACACACACTCACACTCACACACACACACACACACACACACACTATGTAAAAATTAAAAATGAAAGAACTTAAGACAGGGGCCGCCGGGCGGTGGTGGCGCATGCCTTTAATCCCAGCACTCTGGAGGCAGAGGCAGGCGGATCTCTGTGAGTTCGAGGCCAGCCTGGTCTCCAAAGCGAGTTCCAGGAAAGGCGCAAAGCTACACAGAGAAACCCTGTCTCAAAAAAACAAAACAAGCCGGGCGGTGGTGGCGCACGCCTTTAATCCCAGCACTCGGGAGGCAGAGGCTGGCGGATCTCTGTGAGTTCGAGGCCAGCCTGGGCTACCAAGTGAGTCCCAGGAAAGGCGCAAAGCTACACAGAGAAACCCTGTCTTGAAAAACCAAAAACAAAACAAAAAAACAAAAGAGAGAGAGAGAGAGAGAGAGAGAGAGAGAGAGAGAGAGAGAAAGAGAGAGAGAGAGAGAGAGAGAGAGAGGCAGAGAGAGGCCCTAGTCAACAGAAGGCCTACCCTCGGGAGGGACTGTGGTACCCACCCATCTCTCTCAGTCTCTGCTTCCTTTGGCAGTGTGATCTCGCTCTCTCTGGTCCTCTGTGAGGGCTTCACCAGAGCAGAGCTGAGGCCTTTGAATCTCCAGAACTATGAGTTAGGGAACATCTGAACACAAAGCTGCAGCGTTCAGGGTGTCAGAAAGTGTCCCTGGAGCCAGCAAAAACAGCTTGTGCTACAACTAGACTGTCAGTCAAAGAGGATATAGACCTGTGCTTGCTGCAACCTTTGGAGTTGGTTGAGTTGGGCAATCAGTGAGTGAGTGGAAGGAAGTATGGCAGCCTCTCTTGATGGAGCGCTGATATGGAACACCGAGGCAGAACCACAAAAGAGAAGGGCTGCCATGGAAAGGAAGAGGGCAGTTGTTCTGGAATGGGTTAGGCTAAAGGAAAAGGCCAGTGGAGGTCTGGGTAAGGAGTTGGGGCTGGGGTATGGAGGCCAGGCAGATGAAGATCAAGCTGCTAGTGATTAGTGCCTTAGAGAGAGAAGGAGCCTGCTGAGAGGGAGCAGTTGGCTTTCATTCTGTAGGTGTGGAAGCTGACAGCATCCAATCACTGGTTCACACCCTCGAAAGCCGTGGTAGAGCCATCTGGCGGAATCTCCCTCCATCTGTAAGACTTACGAACTTGAAGCAGCCTGCCCTTCCGGGCTTCACCAGGTTGTCTTGTGGAGACCGAATGGGCATGTTTTGAGAATAACTGTTGTGATTGGGTCTTAAAGGATGACTTGGACATAGAATCAGGCTGGGGCTGCTTAGCAGAGTGCCTTTGATTTCAGCTCCCCGGTGCCTTACCTGGTCCAGGGACATCTCAGTTACTCAGTACATTCTCTCGACCGGATTAAAAAGTCTGAAGCACATTAAATAAAATTATAGCTATCCTATATTGGTGAGTTTTAGATCAGAAATTTGACATTTATTGGCTTTCATTATTGAATAATCCAAGGATCATTCAGAAGATAGCAACCCCCCTCCTTAAACGCAAAATGTATCTTAAAATTCTCAGAGTCAAGCCAAGTTTTGTTTCCATTTTCAGTTTTTTAAAGTTACTACTGTATATAACACACAGTGCTCCATCTTGACCTCTGCCTTTAGGTGTACTATACAATGAGGGGCTTGCTAAGTGAGTCAAAAAGTGTACACTTTATAATCTGAAGTGTTTGCAATCCAGACGGACAGAGGTTGGTCTCAAGTGGATTCTAGGTAGGTTGTTCTATTTTTCAGACGCATTTAGACGCACGGGTATCATTTAAACTGATCCACATCCCTTTCGCTAGAATCTCTCCTTAAACTAAGTCAGCTTGATTAGACTCACTTAGATTAGAGAGAATGGTGTGGAGGGAGCTGAGTTGGCCGTCAGTGTCCAGGGGAAGACAAATCACGCCAGAGCAGACGTCCTCAAACCAGGTGCTGGTGTAAGAGTACTATGCCTCCAGGCTTGGGCGGAGTATCATTGACTACAAGCACGACACCCACCAGGGGATTTTGCTGATCCCTGCAGCCCAGGTCTGGATCTGTCCATTTTTCTCAGGGCCTGGGAGTGTCTCCTGGCTGGCTTTTTGCTTCTTGACCTACTCAGGCTGTAGTCTGAACTATGCAGCTGCGTACTGGCTGGCTTCAGAGGCCGAGCACAGCAAGAAAGTTCTCCCTCCTGGGGGAGCCGCAAATTATCTGGAAGCGGGGATGAAAACAGTGTTGGAGAGACAACATAAAGACCTGGATCTGTTGTTGGAGAGATCTTAATGGTGTCAGATGCCAAACCATAATTACTTTTGGGTGGATTGTACATACAAAACATTCTACCTTTTCACTCTTGACCCTTGCCCACATTCCTACAGGATACTCTTCTTTAAGATGTATTTATTATTTC